GACTCATTTAAAAGCACACAGAAATCTACAACAAACTTGTAGAAAATACAACTATACTAATATTATCCACTTGCAAAAACAGGTTAAAAATAATGGAAGCATTGATAATAAAGCCGTACAAAAGGATGGCAAGTACAACAGCTCTGTAAACCCGAATTTTCGCATTAGGTCGAATAACCCGTTCATACCAAAAGCGATGTCGAAGTTTGCCAAAAACACTGGTAGCCTTAGAAATCCGATGCATGATATTATCATCTAAAGTTCCCCTGTAGTTGACTTTGCTATCTAGATTGGTGAAAGACTTTACATAGTTCAGGGCTTTGTCTTCTGCTTTCATTGGTCACTCTGGAAATTTCTAGACTTGTTGCTTTTGTTTCTCACCACAGACTCACTTCGGAGTAGGACGCGATGGTCCACTACTTCAGTTTTCTTAATGCTAAGTATAAGACAAAAGGCTTTACATGCAACAGAGAAACTATTTATTAGATGTTGGGCCTCTTCAAAGGATGTCGCAACAAGAGCAGCATCATCATCAAACAACAAATAACGGATAATTTGCGTACTAAGGTGGGTCTTTGCTTTGAAGCGCTGATTGAAGAGTTCCCCAGTTGTTCGAAACTGAAACTTGACACCGCTCTCCGTGTCTGTCAATGCATATTTCATAATCACCGAGAAGAAAAGGGCAAAAAGAACAGCGGCCATAATACATCTTTGCTTGGTGCCGTTTGTGACATCAATGGATTTTGACATCATACAATCAGACACGATATTAGCTTTTATTCCTTTATGAAACGAGATGATGATCTTTAGCATGTTTTCTGGGATGCCGAATTTCTTCAAGACTTGCCAAGGAGCCTCTCGATTCACAGTGCCAAAGGCCTTCGTCAATTCCACAAACACTATGTACAACTCATGTTTTTCTCGCGAACATCCTCTGCAATTTGACGAAGAGAAAATATGTCAATGGTTCCACGACCCGATCGACAACCACTCTGCGATTCAGGATAGATGCCATCAACAATGTGTATAATGATTCTGTTTAGAATCAGTCTATCTAGGAATTTGACTGCAATTGAAAATAGTGATATTCCCCGATGATTATCACAGGCACACCTGGAACCTTTTTTTTTATATAGAGGTGGTTGATAGAGGCGTCGTTATAATCCTGTGGGAAACAACCTGCTTTCCATATTTCCACGAAAAGGAAATGTGTCTTTTCTACCAACTTTTGTCCACCACGCTTATACACTTCCGGTGGAATAAGATACTTAGGAGTAGGTGATTTCCCAGATGAGATTTGCTTGATGGAGTCACTTACTACTTGATAGGTAGATTCAAAAGACAACTCCGGAATTTCTGGATTTTGCTCAATTGATGTAATTTTTGTTCATCAGTAACTGATATATATATATATATATATATATATATATATATATATATATATATATATTTATATATAATTTTCGATTTGCTCAATTGTGGTGGCTTGTTCATCAGTAATATATATATATATATATATATATATATATATATATATATATATATATATATATATATCGGTTGCTGATGAACAAGCCACCACATCAATTGAGGAAAAACCAGAAATTTGAGTTGTATGTATGTATGGCCCTTCTTTTATGTTAGTATATGTGTATGTATGTATTCAGTAGTTATATTATATATATATATATATATATATATATATATATATATATACACACACATGCAAATACACGCTCACTCATTCACACACACACACACACATATATATATATATATATTGAATTAAGCGTTACGAAATGTTCTCTTGCCCCATACGTTTAAATAAATGCCAATATATATATATATATATATATATATATATATATATATATATATATATATATAATTTTTCTATTTAATTAAATTCAGTATGTTCATCGATTATTAGTTTGTAATGAAGACACATTTGATCAGTTTTGATTTTCCTTTCTTCTCTTTTCGTTTATCCTTTCTTAAACGTGATCGCCAGAAATTAAATTACCTTAAATAATTTTTTTAAAAGTAATAATTTATTGGTTTCCGCCCTTTCTTCCCCTCTATCGCAACATCTAAAACTTTACAATTGCCACGTCTTTGTGCTAACCATTGAGCTTCATCTACTGAGTGGTTTTCGTCAAAGAACCAGTTGATCCATTCTCGGCTCGACTTAGCAACTAGTCATCATTCGGATTTCGCATTTAACAATTTTCAACGGGATTATCAACTTTTTACAAAATTACCAATTCCTGTTAATATCTTTCCGTTTTAATGGCAGTGACCGGCACTGCCGAAGGACAGGAGACATCCGAGGCGCTAATCCAATAAATTCAACACATTAGCACATGCTCCCCTGCGCCGTGCCCTAACCAATCTTCTATGCCCTACCCCTACCTTGATGGATGCTTACGTCATGAATAATTAACTCAACAAGCACTCGTTTTCATTATTGTATACATTATCTCGTTAAGTGAGTGCTAGTAGTTGTGGTCGGTATCGGCATTGATAGCGGTCCTGGTGGCGATAATAAAATTAGCAAAGGTGGGAAAGGCCAGAAATAGTAATGGCTGGGGCGTGTTTTGAAGGTGTTGCCGGTGGCGCCGATCTACAGTGGCTCGGGATTAGCGAAGTAGCTTGAAACGTGGCAGCGACACAAGGCAGAGAAGAAATGTTGATAAATCTGTGGTGTCCATTTTAACTCTTTATCATTGGCCTTAAGTTCTTCTATCTTGCTATCTCTTTACAATCTCTGTTTCAAATTTAATCTATATTACTCTACCGTCTTTGTCTTTATTCTATTGTCTTTCATTTCTCTTGATATAATTACTGAATTCAGTTCTCTTGTGTGTGATTCTCTCTTTCATTTTATTCTGTCTTTCTGTTTTCCCTTTTCATCTTTATTATTTATTTCAGTTACTGCTTGTCCTTTTTTGTCACTTTTTCTACTTTATTTTTTCTTCTTGTAATTTATCATCGTTTGTCGTCTGTCATGTTTATATATATATATATATATATATAATCCTTATTCATATCATGTTATTTCTTCTTTATGTTGTAACTTTCTTCATTCTTTTCTTTATTTTGTATTGTACAATGGCGGTGCAGAATCTCGAAAAAAGAAGCGTACCAATTAACAGAAACTACATCACTAGTTTCTACTATTTGGTGCAGTCGCAACGATTAAAATGTAAGGAAGATGTAACTAGAAGAGAAAACAGTGATATAATCAAGGTATTCCATATTTCAGACTACTTTAAATAGGAGAACAATGGTTATCAACATTAAACTTGAAGAACATATTTTCCGGAAAAATTGTTTGAAGAGAAAGAATTTCTAAATTTCAACTGACAATTGTCTGCTTGGTCAATGAATGCCAAAAGGTTCCCTAGAGGGAAACAGCAAATATTAGCATTGCTATTACCATATATCTCCTTTCTTTTTCTCCTTATTCGTCATTCTTTTTTTATTATTTTCAGTGGGATTCTATCCATTTTCCTAGTTGCATTTCATTTATTCTTTCAGCTTTGGTGCTCGTGTTTCAGACTGTTCATTTCGTCTGTAGGTATTGTTATTCTTTAAATTTTTCTTAGTCATTCTTTCTACATTAATGCCAATAGTAAACTAAAGAACAGAAAACGCAACCAAATTTGGTTCAACCCACCTTTTAACAGTGATGTCAAAACTAATATCGCTAGGATTTTCCTAAATTTAATCCACAAACATTTCAGCCATAAACCTTTACTCAATAAAATCTTCAATAAGAACAAAATGAAGATTAGTTACAGCTTCACTTGAAACATTGAGCAATATATTGCACAGTATAATAACGTAACTTTAAACAAGGTTCATCTAAAGCAAGGAAAGTTGGTTCTATGTATCGGACCAGAAGGTTTTTCTCGCTTGAGTCCAACCTTCAAATCTCTAAATCAACCATTCGCCCTTGCATGGAACATTGCTGCCATATATGGTTTGGAGTCCGCACTGTTCGTCTCAAGGACCTCAACAAAATCCAGCGATGCATATGCAATGTGATTGGTCCTGATCTGGCATCTCATCTACAGTCACGTTCTCACAGACATGCCATCGCTTCCTTCTGTTTTCTACAAATAATTTCACTGTAACTACTCCGACGACCTACTTTCTCTGTTTCCCAAACTGCATGAATTTAAACGTGCGACTAGACTGACATATCAGTCCCATCGTTTCACTGTCGAAACAGTTAAATGTAACCGTTTTTTCTACCATATTATCTTCATGTTTCGCACTTCCCGTTTGCAGATCTTCCTTCCTTTTACTTGCTTCCCTTATAGCATAATCTTCCAATATGCAAATGCAATATCAGTGGATATCTTCATATGCCTGGATCTAATTCCCCGTCCCTCTCTACATCCTTTCCTCTATCACGCTTCTTTACTCTTGCTCTCACACACTCTAACCCCTTGTATGCTAGTAGCGCTCCTACCCCGTTTGGGGTAAAATGCTTAAAAGAAAATAATTACACCTGTCAATCTTAGAATTAACAGCAGAATTACAAGGAAAAATTCAAGTATTAGAAAGAAGGTGAAATGGAACCATCCTAGGTTCTCTCAGAGATATCTAAGATAGTTCTGTAGCATCACATATGATGCATATTTAAATTCATTGTAATGTTAATTTTATTTTTTTATTTTCATCCTTTCCTCTATAACGCCTCTTTAGTCATGCTCCCACTCTCTGTATCTCCTTGCGTGCTAGTGGCATTTCCGCATTGCTTGGGGTGAAATGCTTAAAAACTTTTTTTTTTAAATTACTTAATCAACAACAATAGCAATATTAACACCGAAAAAAGTGCAATTGCCGAAAACTTTTGTTATTCATTTTTTCTCTGCTTTTAGATCTTTTGTTCTGCTTTTGTTCATAATAATTTCTTTCTAATTTCTCATCGTTCACATTTGCATGTTAAATTTTTCAATTTGTTCAGCAAGTTTCTGTTAATTCTCGTCATGCTTTCTTCTCATTTTATCTTCGTTCCTTCATTTTTGACCATCAACATCCTTCTTTTCCTAATTGCCATTCTTTTTTATTTTCATCGCTCTTCTATTTTCCTCTTTTTATCATTTTTCTTCTTATATTTTGTAATTTATCTCTTTGTTTGTAATTCCTTCCATCTCCTTCCTCTTACTTTCTCACCATTCCTACATTTCGTTTTGATCAAAATTTTCATTCTTTTTCTTGTCATCGAATCGTTTATATTTCTTACTCGCTCATCATTTCTACACATCGTTCTTCTTTATTCTTTTTCTTCTTCAAATAGAACTTCATTCTCCCCTCTTATTTTCTTGTCTTTCATTCATTTGTTTTCTATTAGTTTGGAAGAGATGGTCTTTGCAGTGTATAGACACATGATCATGTGCATTCTGGCTAGAGCATGGAGGGTGTGCGACATAACTTCACTGAAAGATTACTTTTTATTAGTGGGGAACAAGAGTTTCCGACCACTCTGTATGTTAGAAATAATTTTTTTTCCCAAAAACGCTTTTTAAAATTAATTATATTTCTCATGAAATCAAATATATCCACTAAAGTAACCAGTATTACCATATGATCTTAAAAGATAAGTATTATGCATTATTAATTTTGTTGAATTTTATTTTAGAGTAGTTGATTATACCTATTAATTATTAATTATTGATATAATGGAAAAGAGTTAACTTAATCTAATATGATATAAAATTAGTAATATTACTAAAGAAAAAATATAATAAATATATATATAAATGTAAATTAATAAATAAACATAAAAAATCAAAATAACTTATAAAAACTATTAAAAAACCTGTAAAATGTAAATATATATATATATATATATATATATATATATATATATATATATATATAAATAAAAAATGAATAAACATATATATATATATATCTATATACAAATAAAAATATATATATATATATATATAAAGACATCTATATTAAAAACAAATAAGTAATAACGCATAATACGTAATATATAGTAAATAAGTTAATAATCAAATAGATAAATACTAAGCAATAACTTTCACTGAAAACTCATCAGGGATAGCATAGAAAAAACAATCTAGGTCTACGTGCTTCTATAGATATTTATTTTTAGGAGTACATGTGACCATTCATTCATTTCTCTTATTTAGTAAACCTTTGATAATTTAATATTGCAACATGTTTATTCTTCGACTAAACACTGCTTTTATTTATTCCCTTAGCCATTAAATGGTTTAGCCCTTGCCATTGTACTACATTTAATTGAAGGGGAGTTGCCATAAATCATTAGTTACAGCAGTGTTTTTTTCTGTTTTTAATATTAGCAAAAGTCATAGTGTGAAGTTAGAAACGAAGCTTCCAGGGATGCTTAATAAAACCAAAATAATATTTAACGTCGCTAGCGAAACGAATACACACTCGATGTACAGTATTACCTGTCGTACATTGACCGTTTAAAGTGCATATCGAATTTTCTCGGCAATTACATTTATTTTGTGAAAAATTTACGCTGTCTTACTTGGAAAGATATTTAATTCATATAATGTGGTTGTGTAGTGATATAGATCTATCGATGTTTACTCTATAGCTGCTATAGCTTAGCTATACTGATTTTACATCATTTTTGTTAAAAATATTTTTTAATGCTGGTGAAGGATTAAAATGCTTATGGTTTATTTTATGAAAATTTTTCCGACATTAGTTTGGACATTACAGTTAAAAACAGTTAAAGCTCTGATGTTTCCTTTACGGTGTGTTTGTTTTGTTTTATCAACTTTGTGTTTTTCCAAATACACTGTTGAATTATATAGGCACATATTTCTCATTATCTGTTTCTTTCTGATTGTAGACATAATTGACATTGACTTTCGTTTCTCTAGATCAACTGTTGATCCATTACTGATTACTGCTGAAATAGTCTATCAAGCTTTAGATAAAAATGTTTAAGCATGGCCAGTGCTTTAGATATTTCGAAGGCATTTTACAGTTTGTCTGATATCAAAATTTGTAAGGTTATGAAAATTCTGGATGGATCTTTGAACTGATGTAGCAACTTTTATAGAATCTAGACATGATTTGTCTTGAATGGCCATTTTTCTAGATCATTTTGCATTAATGTCAGTGTCCTAACACTGGCTCTATTCTGGGACTTCCATGTTCCGATTTTCACCAATGACGTCCCAGATGTCATCAGTTTTACACTTCGGTATCTATGCTGATGAGAAAATTATTACTCCAGTCTTAATAGTAAGTCTGATTGGTTTCTGGAATATATTTGAGGAAGGGTGACTCAGAAATAATTTAATACTCACAAGCAGTGGTGGCATCCATTTTTAAAATTTTAAAAACTTACCGAACCTGTTGTTGAGTTATCCGAAAATAATACTATATATATATATATATATATATATATATTAACAACAATGAATGAATATATTGAAACAAAACAAGTTCAGTTGACCACTGATGACAATTCCAGAACAACGTAACTATAACCAATTTTATTCTATCCTCTGCAAACCGCAATGACGGAGAAAGCATTACCTCAAACCATGGCCAGGGAGACACGCTGCAAGAGCCACTGCGTTTCGCGAGGCTCGTCCCTTAATCGAGACGCAATCGCGCCAATCCTCCGAAGGAACGCCATCGAACGAGGACCAATAACCCCTGAAGTTTCCACTGCCACAGGAGTAAAAAAAAAAATCTATCAGCAAGAGAAGAATATTTAACTATTTTTTTCATTTCTGCGTCCCGGGCGACGGATCCTAGCTCAACCGCGGAACTGATGAAATTACCGACTGAAAATGTATCCGCACAGGTCGCATCCCAAATGAAAGACTTCCCCATTTTAAAAGAGAAAATTGTAATGCCATCCGGCCGTTTTCCATCACCGCGGTCGAGGCCTACGGGTTCGATTTGGGAAAGGACCCCAACTGTATCCAAACCTCTTTTGATGATGTCGTTAATGGCTGCATGCCGTGAAAAGCGACCGGCACTACGACGACGGTAGAGAGGATGCAAACCAAACTCATCTATGGAGGCTCAACATCTACATCTGTGACGCTCACATAATTTGAGTTCAAGATGGATCCCGACTCCGATTCGTGTGCAATCATCATCTAGAAGGGTACCGGTAGATAATATTAGTAACCGATGATCTTGGTACAGTAATAGTTACGCTACGCTCGCCTATGCGCGCAGTGAAAGTATAATAGACACAACCCCCTTACAATTTTGAAGTTAAAAATATAGTAAATCGTCTTCTCATAAATTTGATAGATGTTGGGGTGCACCCACCATCTTAATGTTAATGGACTTATCCCTCTACGATATAAGTCAGTGCTAGAGAGAATAGGCGTGTTGTGTGAAGGATCAGGTTCAGCGACAGCAGTCGAGATCCGGTTACCATTACATACCGTTGGACTGTAGACTTTTGCTATTGTTACGTACTAACCGGCGTTCCTTATTACTAATCACTCTGTTGTTAATTACCTCTTACAAATATACCAGTATTTATCCCTACAACTGTGTTTGTCTTTATTCGAATACACACACGCGGGAACACTCCCAACAACTCAACCATAGATCTTCTATTGGATCTTCGGAACTACAACGATTCATTTCGAATGTGGCAGAGAAATTATTTCAGAGTTGATGACACTATAGTCGAAAAGCATCATACTTCCGAACAAAACATTTGATGAGAACAAAATTTCTATTTGGAAATATCTTAATAAATAAATGTTTTTCATTAAATTATCAAAACGGTTTAATTCTTTTTGATACTATAAAGTCATTTCTCTCCATACTCAGAAAATAAGTAGAATAGGTTCTTAAAGTTTACCTGCCTTTATTGTACCGGTTCTTTGAAAGTTAAGATTCCATCACTGCTCACAGTGCGTATTCGGCGAAAGAGAATACCTAATGAGAATCTATATGTGGATGGCAAAGCAGAAAAATAATGATGGTTGATAGCCGAAGAATACTTCGTGCCGCAAAAGATAGATTTTTTTTTAAAATCTATATTTTTTACTGAAAATACACAACGCGAACGTAATGGTATTAGTAATGTTTATAATAGCAGTCCCACATTCTTTTCTTCCTTTTCAAAAAAATAGTTCTCGAATTTTTCATACCTTGTTCACTTTCTCAATCTTCAGAATTTCTAAGACATTTTGAATGTCTGCATAGCACTTTTCATCATCTGTTACAATTCTGCAAATTAGATTTCCGTCCTTGCTTCGTTTTTGATGTCCTGAATACATACCACACGCAAAGGGCATCCCTTTGCTGATAAACTTGCACTTCTACTCTTCACAATGACTCGTCCTCACCTAATATAATAGCTTTCCTATTTTCCTGCATTTGCCATCAATAAAGTAACGTCTGTTAGTCTCTGTTTATTTTACGGTGTATTTGTCGATGAGAAAACCTGGTTTGACTTTTAATCTTCTTAGTAATATATCTCTGTACACGTTAAATAAATCTAGTGAGTAAACACCGTTGTTGTACACTGTGTCTTTCTATTTGTGTATTTAATTAACTCTTTATCCTTATACATCTAAGCTACTTCTGTGAAAAGGTTATGGAATATTTAAGCATATTTTCCGTGAAGATGGAACTTTTCAAATAGTTCAAGGTGTTCTAATTTATAAAAAATATAAATATAATTTTTATGTCTGTTATTCGTTCATTCCTTGAATATTGATGTCACTTTTGGTCTGCTGCTTCTGCTATGTATTTAGAGATTTTGACAAAATAAAGAGAAGAATAGAGCAAATTTTCCATCACCCAAACATAAATTGACTTTGCCTTTTCATGGAAATTACTAGGCCTAACGTATTTTTGTTCCTAGACTTTATTAATTTAAGCTCAGTACTAGATAGGCGGTTAGGTCCCAACATTTTACATTTGAAAAGGCTAGTACTAATCTAGTACTGCTCTTAAAATCATAAAGTCTAGGTACCATAGTTAATCAGAACTGCTGCCATAAAAGTATTCATAAAAAAGACAAAGGTAAGCTACGTTACGGTAGTGGGAAAGTGACTGAATCGAAGATGCTAGGTCAGGACTAATAACGTTGCTGATTCTTTAATTGAAGTACATTTAAATATATTATTGAAACTTTGATAAATGAGAGACGTTTGTCCTTAACGAGTGATTTTAAGGAGAAACTTTCTATAAACGAGAAATATTGATTGAGACGTTTGTTTTTATCTACGGATTATCAATCCTTTCTAGGTTATTTAAAATCGAGACATACTTTTTTGTTGTTGCGAGTGAATATTACCATATTTTAGGAACAGCAAATCCATGTTCTACTATTTAACACATAGCTTGGAGGAAACGATGCATTGACACCTTTTCCAATGGTAATTTTGCAAAGTGAATATAAAGAACTTGACTAGAATTCGTACTCGGTTCTCCGATTTCTCATTCCGAGTCGTAAGCAACTACACTACGAGTACATTTAAACAAGAAATATGAAGAACGAATAAATATAAATTATTTTACACGGAAAGGTTTTTACAAATACTCTCTTGTAAATTATTTTGATACATCAAATAAAATTAAAACATCTCTCTGATAAAATAGTTTTATTCAAAAGAAACCAATCTGCATTTTGGAGGAACAAGCTTTTTTTCAGTCAAGGGAAAAGTAAAAGTTTTATCTTTGTAAGATGTTATTGTGGGGACCTACTTACAAATGGACTCTTCCACACGTATATAATATGGCTACCAACTCTGAGTAAAGGGAGTCACCAAGTGAGGGTCACCGAGTAGTAGACACCGAGTGAGTGAATGAGTGAGTCAGGACACCAGTGAAAGAAAGTACTCTACAGGCCACATTTGCCTTTGTATTATCTTTCTGTGGTTCCACACCATAATTGATGTATTATACATGGTGGGGCAGAGCAACTTGCTTATTTGGAATATCAATTAAAACACAAGTAATGCAGGTATACATGTAATTCTTTGAACTGAAACTAGTTCAACATTTAAATTTTATTTTTTACCAGTTTTAAAGATGATATCAGTAAGATGACGTCCATTCTTCTCTATACACTGAGTCAATGTTTTGGGGTGACCTTGCTGTTCGTGGGAGGCCAGGTTTCTTTTTCTTTACATCACCCGTTTCCCTGAAGTTGTTTACCTATAAAACAATAGACTGCCGGCCAGGAACACGACCACGGGGGGACAATATTGAAAGGTCTACAATATTGAATGCACGTTGCGTTGCGACGATTGAGCGACCGCTTGAAAAAAAATGCCTCAACATCGAAAGCGCGTTCCAACTTCGTCAAATCCATGATGCTCACTGGGGTTCCTGAAAAATAAACAAAAAATAAATAACGCACGTTAAGAACCAAACTTTAAGCCCCACCTTCTCAAATAAGTCCATCCCTACCATCCTTGGAGCAACCATCGCTTTATGGCACCAAATTTAAATAAGCAAGTTGCTCTGCCCCACCCTGTAGTTTACCAAAGAATTGTGAAGTCGTTGAGACAAAGAGGTCATTTTTATTATTAAAGGTGGGTTTCGCCGGAGAATTGCATGCTCTCTTTGGCTTCCTCAGTTTAAAATGAAACAAAGACAAAAACATGTGCGAAGAAAACGTATCGAGAACTCTGAGTCTAAGTGGGTATCATAAATCAACCTTAGATTATTTCTTCCTAATTTCTAAACCTGGAGAGTGCCTCTCCGACTGTGTGCTTCTTTCTTTTTATCTTTATCTATATTAGAGCCATTTGGTATTGTAGGATTTTAAATCAGTTTTTTGTTTGTTATATACGAGGTGGTATTAAAAAGTTTCAGGACTAGTTATGTTTACAAAAAAACAAAAAAAAACAAATATTTACCTAAGTTCTAATATCATCTCTTTCAAAATAATCACCTTAGGCAATTATTATGCCGGTTTCAGCGTTCCTGATACTTTTGCCGTCCGCCCTGGAAGTCGTTTTCTGTAACTGAGATGACGATGTTCTACGATTCGCTCTGGATTTCGGCAACGGTGTTAAAACGGTGATCTTTGAGCTGCATTTTCAGCTTGGAGAAAAGATGGAAGTGTGTAGGTGCTAAATCTAGCGAATATGGCGGGTGCGGAGGTGATACAATGTTGTTTTTGGCTAGGAACGAACGAATGAGGAGGGTTCAGTGACAGGGTTCTTTGTCTTCGTGAAGAATCAAATACTTCGTACTCCAAGTATCCGACCGCTTTCAGCGAACATCATCCCTCAAACGCCAAGAAAACATTGCAGTAGATCTCTCGATCGACGGCCTGGCCCTGGGTTGGGGACGAATTGTGGATGTACACTATCGTGGATGTCGAACACAAAAAAATAGTTGAGCTGCAGCTCTGTCGCCCCTTGTCCGATCGTGGAAATGAAGGGCTCTTCCACTGTTGACTGCTACATTTTTCAGGGTCATACCCGTAGATAAAACTGTCGTAAGGGATGGGTTTTCCTCGACATGAAGAATGGGTCATCAGTGGCACCCGGTTTCGGCTCGATGTTCGTTCTGCTCAGTGGCCAGAATGCAGGAGACAATCTTGGAAGCGAGACGTTGTATGCTCGATTCACATGTTAGGAAGTCATGCACTGCTCGAGACCAACGACATCGATAACAGCGTTGTTTTTATCCCCCGACAGTACTGATGCTCAAGCTAATTCATTTTCTCCACATTTCCGAGGGTGATAATTGTGGCAGATTTTATAAACTTCTGTTCATCTTCCAGGGACGATCTTCTGCTTTTGAAACACCCCTGCCACTCGAAATATGGGTACGGCCCATTGCTTTGTGGGTGTAAGCTTGCCGAAACATGCTCAATATATCCGTCGCAGAGTTACCAAGTTGAGCGTCAAATTTCACATTGGCTCTTTTTTCAAACTTCCTCATACAGCATAAACACAGCACACTGGCGCATGAAGGACACTGCTAGCTCTCAGGAAGCGACAACACAACAACGCCAACTCAAAAGCGCCAAAATAACATTGCATATTGAACATAGGCGACTCAGCGCCGGGACAACTCAGGACGGAGACAACTCAGGACCGAGACAACTCAGGACCGAAACAACTAAGCATTTTAGAAATATATAAATTATTTTTATTATATGTCCGTCTTCATTGATTGTTTATAATATATATATATATATATATATATATTTATATATATATATATATATATATTATGTTTCGATGAAGACATAGACGATGAAACATAATAAATTCATATAAATGTATTTGTAATTTTTTTATATATATATATATATATATATATATATATATATATATATATATATTATAAACAATCGATGAAGACATAGACGATGAAAACATAATAAATGCATATTATAAATGTATGCCTTGTCTTTTTTTGAGAGTGGATTTTTATCTTCTTAAGGGAGTTTTATCTTAAAATTGATAATTTTAAATATACCACTTTTTAACTATTAATAGTAATAATAATAATAACGAAATCCCTATAATAATGAAGCACTTCAGAAGTCACCTAAAGTTAAACTTTAACTATAAAATCAAACTAAAATCTAAATAAATTTCAAACGTTAAAATATAGGTAATGATTGAGAAATGTATGTGTGTATATATAATTTATGTATGAAGATAGATGAACATTTGTGTATATTGTTGCAAGAGTGTCTATGTGTGTATTTGCACATGTAAATAGACGTATGTATATGTGGATTTGCATGAAAATGTTTTTGTAAGATACATATAAGAAGAAAACAAAATCTTTAATATTACCCTCAAATATTATTAAATAATGAAACCTAAACCTTAATTAAGTTTACCATATAATAATAAAGAAAAATTGCATTCATAAATTAGATTTAAAGTAAAACTAATATAGATGTTGTTGTTACCAAATTTTTTTTACAATATTATGAAAGTACAATTGGCCGGGTAAATAAACTATTATAATTTTAAATATTTCTTTAATATGTTCTCGATAAATGTGCTAATAAACATAGTAGTTAACTTATATTAAGTCCCTAATGTGCTAATAAAAATAGTAGTTAACTTATATTAAGTCCCTAAACTATTTACTTAAAAAACTAAATGTTTAAATTGATAACATTCATCATTTTTTAGACATGTAAATTTCTATCAAGCATTGAAATCTATCTTTTACATAATTTTGTTAAAACAAAATTACAGCCTCTTTCGATTCACTTCCCTCTTCCCCTCTCTCTTTGCCGTAACACTCATTTAGATATATCTGTATTACTGTTGTCTATCTTCTTTCCATTTTTCCTTTTCTTTTCCCCCCACTACCCTCCCATTCCTATATATCATTTCCGTTAAGTTAACCATCTAAATAGGTCACGATTAGGTCACTCCTCCTACCCCAATATAAAACATGCTGAAGAGAAATATGAAATTTACCCCTCTCTATACTCTACCTTGTCTCGTTAACTACAACTATCACCTTCCCTGTTAAATTACAAAAATTACACAACCCATCAATTTCTAATCCCATTTTTCCTTTCATTTCGTTGTTGAAAGTGTTACCTGATGATCCGGAGTCCTTCAAAAAGGATTTTGGTGAAATAAATTATTGTAATGGTACCTTAAAGTGGTCTTTTTTTCATTAAATATTAGCTCTGGATTCACATTGAGCTCTCAGGATTTCATCCTCCTTGGAATTACTCATTCGGTTTACCAAATTCTTCGTAACTTAATTATATATATATATATATATATATATATATATAAGACATTTTTTTTTGTTTATACATTCTTTTTATAGATACAAATATTTAAGTAAATGCTCTGTTAATAATCAGACCGGTAAATGTTGTTTAATACTGTTTACTATAAACAGAGCATTTACTTAAATATTTGTATCCATAAAAAGAATGTATAAACATGAAAAATGTCTTAAACTAATTTTCGGACTTTGTCCATTTCATAATGTGTGACGTCATTTGTTTACATTTGATACGCCACGAGCAGATATGAATGTACGTGAGAGATTCATTGAAGATTGAAGTTTAAATACAGTAAATTCGACCTTACTAACCGAACGCTCCTCTGTGGCCAAATAGGTAAAGGCACGTTTAGCTAAATGACGGTTCCGTATAAGATACAGGTTCGAATCATGTTGGGGGACGAATATTTTCTATGAAAATTTCTCGGACATTCAGGGCGGTAAATGTTGTTTAGTACTGTTTATTATAAACAGACCATTTACTTAAATATTTGTATCTATAAAAAGAATGTATAAACATAAAAATGTCTTAAAATAATTGTCGGACTTTGTCCATTTCTATATATATATATATATATATATATATATATATATATATATATATATATGATTTCTCTGTTAAATATATATTGTGTGTATGCATATAGACATAAATGTACACGTTTGTCCCCTGCTTTTGCTCTGTTTGAATCACTCCATGTATATTTGTACCAGAGAATAAAATGTAAACACGCTTGCGTCTCTGCTACTAAGCCAAGGAAGAATGCCTGGTAATAAATTCTGAACGAATCGATTCTATGTTCAAATGACAAAAGGTGATGTGCGCAGTGGTCTTGCGAAATGCGTCAAAGCGTTTATAGTTCTTTGATGAAATTAACCTCGACTCAACTAAAGATAATTATTTCTTAAAATGACTCATTCTTTTGTTAAGGCTTTTCCTGTTTAGAAAACATTTAATGTGCTTTTAATGAAGTAGAATTTTGAAAGTTTTCTAAACAGAAGTAAAGTAATATATTTGAAGAATATGAAATTAGAAACAAATAAGAAAGGGGACAATGGAGAATAGAACAAAATCAAATTTATTTTAAAAAGAAATTATGAGAAAATCAAGAAGAAGAAGAAGAAGAAGAAAAAGAAGGCTAGAAAGAAGGAGAGAATGAGAGTAAAAGAAGAAAAATGAAATACAAATTATGAGCAAAACTATCATAGATGATACTATGAAGTGAGAACGAATAAGTGGTCATTTGTCAAATAGAAATAAAATTTCACAAGATTGTATGATTCGTAGGTTTTTTACAGCTTACCAACCCATTGTTGATTATTTCAAATTGAAAAATAGTAAATTGTAAGAAAATATTTTCAAGTGAATTTTAAAGAATATAGAAATGAATTTATATAGATAAAAGTCCTACTATTTAATCCATAGCTGGATGATATGAGTATGCATTTCACAAGAAGGTAGTAAGAAAAGTATCAAAGAAGACGAGTTCTTGTGAAAAAGAGGGGAGATGAGGAGAAAAAACGAAGACGAATAAGTAGAAATGTCGGAAATCACGTTATAAAAAAGAGGAAGATTAAGAATGAATGAATGAAGAAGAA